GTAATTATGTACAATAAGGTCTTTTTCGAATTTTGATACTTTTTTGCAGCTTTTTTAGTAAAAATATTTATTTTGACTCCAACATTGATAATCAATCGAGGGAGTCCGAAAAATATGCAAGTTATGTATTGTTTTAACTTTTTTTCACTTTTTTTTTCACTTGTCAAACGTTGCTGCTTTCCCACAATTTAAGCAAGTTACTGCTCTTTTAATCACATTATGTAACTGCAATATCGAACGACTAGCGGGGGGCTGCGCCCCCCGCACCCCCCTCAAAACTAAGCTAACCCAACCTATCGTCACATTAGCCCTCAGTCATTGTTTATTAAAAAATTATTAAGAAAAAAGTTGAACACTTTAATAAACAATGACTGACGGTTAATGTGACGATAGGTTGGGTTAGGTTAGTTTTTAGGGGAGGTGCGGGGGGCGCAGCCCCCCGCTAGCCGTTCTATATTTTTCTCGTGTTACAAATGTTAAAAATATTATCAATTTAAATATTTTTTTAGTAAGTACTGCACTAGTACAGAAAAGGCAAATCCAAGGTGACATCCATCTTCTAAATAATTACTATTGTTTTAACTTTTGCAATCACAAGTTTCTTAATCTATATCTAGCATCTTTAACAATTAATTTCTCGGTTTGTACAGCCGAGCGACGATTTTAACTTTCAAATTCGGCTTCTACGCATCGAAATATATAAGATAGGTGAGTTTCAGCGAAATCTAAGGTCAGTAACTTGTTTAAATTGTGGGAAAGCAACAACGTTTGACAAGCGAAATATTAAAGTGAGAAAAAAGTTAAAACAATGTATAACTTGCATATTTTTCGGACTCCTCCGATTGATTGTCAATGTTGGAGTTAAAATAAATATTTTTATCAAAAGAGCTGCAAAAAAATATCAAAATTCGAAAAAGGCCTTATTGTACATAATTACCATTTTCTTGCTGTGAGATCGACGTAATACCAAGTTGCTACACTGAGGGAAATATTACCTTTAAATCCACAAATATTTCTTTCATAGATGCCATTAACATATTTACTTAAATCTAAATTCTCTTTATTTAAATCAAATATTGATTACCTGGTTTAAGTAAACATTTGGTTTAAATAAAGAGAATTTAGATTTAAATAAGTATGTTAATGGCACCCATCAAAGAAATATTTGTTGATTTTAAAGTAATTTTTCCCTCAGTGTGGAACATATTTCTATTATACGGAAAGAATTTGCTCCTACAGCAAGAAAAATAGCTAACGCAGCAATATTTTGCAAGTGTCCATATATTACAATTTTCTTTTTCTCCGTGTCGACGCTTTAAACCATGTTAAAGTGGAAAGAGCACAATGTATAGATTGAGGTATGGACTATTGTATCTTCTAATTCATCATCCGGAGAGACACATTATTCCAATTAAATATAAAAGTAGAAGATAAGATCAAAGATCCTTATATATTGCGAGCACATAACATATTACTGATACACGGGACACGCGACCGTACTTAGTTGTTTAATGCGTCACGAGCAGAATGTATATTAGGCCCTCAAGCAAATTTTCTCGTTTTTGGGTTTAAACGAGCTTTTTATGCGTGAATACTACAGATGTCGCTGTAGTATCATTATAAATTCTGCAACATCTCTTTATTCTTCCGACATTCCGCCGTCCGACTATCACTTTTTCCTGTCGCTAAACACGCGAGAGGATCTAGGAATAGAGCTGAACAATTTCTCGCCTCTGAAGATCGCGATTTCTTTCGCAGTATACTTATGAAGCCTATTTGCTTGGAAAAGATTATGGAATGCAATGAAAATTATTTTAACGAATAAGTCCTTTTAAACGTTGGCCAAGCGTTGGTTGCCGAAGGCCTTCGGCAGCTAGTCATTTGCAAGTATTGGGCCAATACTGGCTGACAAAATTCTGGCCGATAGTTGGGTGCCATAGCTTCGGCCAAGCGTTGACTACTGGCCAACTTATAGCTGCTATAGTAACAACTTCGTTGTTATTACTGGCGACCCAATATAGGAACATTTTTGTGTATGTTTGAAGTTGACGCTTAAAAAACGAGAAAAGCTTTTTTAGATGTTTGACATCACTGGACAAGTAGTTTTTATTAGAAATAAGGACGTTCATAGAGTTAGTTAACATTATAATAAGTAGTGTATAATAATAATAATATCTGTAAATATACGACATACATTAAGAGCAAGAGCGCATGCGGACCTAATCGCCGAGGAAATATGCTCGAATGTCGAAAAACCATCGGCCCGTGTGTTTATCTTCATTATATCTCACTACCCGTTACTCAAGATTATCACTGAAGGTCGCCTCGCTGTTTCACTTTACACACGGAAAATCAGTCTTTATCGTCGCCAAAAGAATCTTGCAAGTATCGCTGGACAATTTGACAAAAATCCAATCCGACAAATGGGCGCGTCCACATTGAGAGAAAAATTATATTAAAATCAACAAATATTTCTTTGATGGGTGCCACTAACACATTTACTTAAATATATATTCTCTTTATTTAAATCAAACATTGTTTACCTGATTTAAATTAGCAATATTTGGTTTAAATAAAGAGAATGTAGATTTAACTAAATAGCGCCCATTAAAGAAATATTTGTTGATTTTAATATAATTTTTCTCTCAGTACACGAATTTAATAAAACTTGACTTCTCGATTGAATATCATTTTTTAAAATGATGAAAATAAAAACTTTTATTTCGTCCAAGGAAACTATGACTATTGTTTTAAATAGTATTCTTTAAAAGTTTCTTTCAAAATTTAATAATTCAATTT